TAATTTTACATCACACCAGGAAATGTAAATTGGCAAATGTTAAGCATGCATATATATATATAAAATCTCCCTTCTTTCAACATAGAAAACACTCTCTGTTCTACAACTTCTGTTTCACTCTCAAGAGGATCCCAGTGCCTGATGGGCCTCATTAAACTAAACTAATATATTGTTTGGTAAACCATGCAGAGGGCAGAGATATTTATCTGTGTTCCTCAGGCACCAAAAACAAGTTTTAATGTGAATTCTTTCCCAGGAAAAATAAATAAAAGTAGATCTCTACATAATTTCCAACTTTATCTTACAATACAATTATAATTAGATAAAAAGTCTCAAAATCAAGTTATGCTGCATTTTCACGGAAGAATATTTCACAAGGTAAAGTTTTTGTTTTGTTTTTAAATATTTATTTTTTTATTTATTTTTAGTTTTCAGCGGACACAACATCTTTGTATGTGGTGCTGAGGTTCGAACCCGGGCTGCACGCATGCCAGGCAAGCGCGCTACCGCTTGAGCCACATCTCCAGCCCTATACAAGGTAAAGTTTTTGAAGTATCAGTTCTTAGTAGTACCTTACCTCCTTTTTGGTGTACTAGTAATAAAAATGGAGCCAAAACTAAAAGCATTGTGAGGAAGAACAGAGACTCCCAAATTTTCGTTTTTCTATCTTTCATTTCCCCAAGGTTTTAATTTTTCATTGTGTTCTGCCATGCCACATCTGCTGCTACTATGTTCTTAGAGCAGCAAATAGCATCTCAAGGGATTGGTATGAGAAGAGAATAAATTAAACTGTTACCACATGATACTGACAGCCTACCAGAAGACAACAGACACAAGGTTGTTGCTGAATTTGAGCCTTTAAGATGGCAGAGACATGATCTTTAAGGCGTCTCCAACTATAAAATTCTATGAGAAACTTAAGAATACTGCTTTGGAACAAGACTTGAAAAATAAACATTTTTAAATTTAACTAGGGTTTTCCAAAATTTGTATAATGGACAATTAGTATGTTTTGTCCTCAGAAAAGTATTTTTAAATGTTGCTGAAGAAATTAACTAAACTTTTACCTCTTCATGGTCTTTTTTACTCTCTGCTTGCAAAATTGAAGATCTGAAGAAAAATAAAAGAAAAAAGTTTCAGCCTTAACTTTTTAAAAGAAAAAGAAAAAAACAAACACCACAACCAAGAGTATTTTAGGAAAGGAAAACCACCAAAGGCATTAGGACTAATACTTTTAACAACTCTAATTTTGGCTATCTATGCAAGATGTGCCAAAATGGAAATAGGCACTGATCCTAGAAAGATAAGACCATGAAAGTACACTTTAAGACAATACATTTCAAACTTCTGGTGTTTATCATATATCAGTGATCCTACATTAATATCTTAATGTGCATAAATACAGGGGGAAAATGACTTTTATGAAATCCAGGGAAAATACTAACTTCATTATTGATAGTTTCTCCTTTAATAGAGTTAAATAAAAATTTCAACATATGATTCACAGCAATATTTGGCTTTTCAAAATAACTGTTAATACTTTATTTTTTTAATTTTATTTTTAATATTTATTTTTTAGTAATATTTTAAAAGAAATAATTTTTACTAATTTTACATCACACCAGGAAATGTAAATTGGCAAATGTTAAGCATTAGCAAAAAACTAAAAATATAAAAATTTAAGTACTGTTAATAACATTAACAATTTGGTGATTTCAATAAACGAACATAGGGACGCCTAGTGTGATAACACACAGAATTGGCATTCACTGTATGTTTGTAGAAGGAATATTAAACCATTTAATGAATATGAACTACAAACATTTTGGTAGAAGACAGTGTGCCATAAATGTCTTTTTGTTAAGGGGTAAAGGTTGAATTTATTTACTTATTTTCATAATTTTTTTTCCACCAAGCAACTGGGCAACTAGTCTTCCACTAAGCCACATCCCTAACCCCATAATATATTAATGTGCATAAATATAGGAGGGAAAATGACTTTTATGGAATCCAGAGGCTGCTCCAAAAGTTAAGAAAGCTCAATGGTCAATTTTTTTTTATATATTTTTTTTTAGTTGTTGATGGACCTTTATTGTATTTATATGTGGTGTTGAGAATTGAACCCAGTGCGCCTCACACATGCTTAGGCAAGCATGTCTGAGCTACAACTCCAGCCCTTCAATGGTCAATATTTTAATTACATAGGGGAAAAAAAAAAAAAAAATCACAGCTACCCTAAGTATCTATCCTTAGGAAAATGTTTAAAATATAATATCTGTCCTTAAAAAGATTAATGTAGCCATTATGAAATGTTTTTATAAGTAATGTACATCACAATATTTCTTCACTTATTAAAAAAAAATGTATTCAGGATAAAAACTGGAAGGCAACAAACAAAAAAGCTAACTGTTGCTTCTTGTTAATGAGATTACATCCCCCCCACCATACTCTTTTTTTCTCTGTACTTTTCAGAAATTGTGTTCTAAACACTACTATAGATTCCTTTTTTTTTTTTTTTTTTTTTGGTAATACAGAGGATTTCCAGGGCACTTAACCACTGAGCCATATCCCCAACCCTTTCTTATATTTTAAGATAAAGTCTTGCTAAGTTGCTCTGAACTCACAATCCTCCTGCCTCAGCCTTCCGAACTGCTGCCCCACTGTACCTGACTAGATTCTCATTTAATAGAAAGATAATAGAATTTTTCTTAGGGGCATAATAAATATTAATGGAGAAAATAATCCGATCAGGAGTATATGATTAACATTTAAAAATAACACTATTGTTAGCATCTATCATATGCTGGTCACACACATGCTAGATTTCTATTCCTCTCAATTTATAAAGTAACTCCCTACCTACATTTTACATGTAGAAAAATGGAGATCAGAAGGGTTAAGGAACTCATCTAAGATCAGAGAGTAATGAATCCAGGCTTTGATCTTTGCAACCCCACACTTGATACTCTTAATTAACTTGGGCTGTCTTCCCCATAGAATGCGGGATTTTCAGTGACCAGTCTCTTAACATGGAATCATGGTATTTACCATTTAACCTGGTTTCAACAACCTCAAAGAAATAATTTAATGATGTTAAAAATTAAAATTCAACTCATTTCTATAAGATTAAAAAGCAAACTATCTTAGCAGGGTGCAGTGGCACATGCTTAGTAATATCACCAACTTAGAAGGCTGAGTCAGGGGGATCAAGTTTGAGGTCAGAGGTCAGTCTGGGTAACTTTGTGAGACTCTGTTTCAAAATAAAAAAATTTAAAAGGGCTGGGGATGTAGCTCAGTGGATGAGCACCTCTGAGTTTAATCCCCAGTGTTCCGGGCAGGATGCGGGGGAAGCAAATTATCATAATATATATGCTGAGTCTAAAATGTTCATGACATTTCTGGATAAAAAGGAATTATCCTGCATTTCAGTAATTTAAAATATTATAAATTTTATTAATAGTAGAAAAATACCAACTTTTTCCCATCAAAAGAGGTGATCTGAAAACAGTATCGCCTGTCTTCACAGTCCACAGCCATCACTGAACAGTTGTCTATGTCCATGGCCAGGCCTCCTGCTACATCGCCACGGGCTTGACTCATTAAGTTTCCACCCTGTGTGAAGTAAAACTGTCTATCCCAGGTAGACGACACCAAGCCTGTTTTACTAAATGAAGAGAATACATTCATACTTTAATAATGACATACCTGAAATCACCTTATCATCCAGAAACAAGATAAAGCATGTTACAAAGAACCAGCTTGCAAAAAAGTTACCAGAGTGCAAAGAAAATATAAACATCGGTTTTTCAGTCTCCTAAAACGAATTTACTCATATTGACTCGCTCATGTGAATGTACCTTTTCCAAAATAAGGCTGGAAATTATCAAATTGCAGCTATGTAATCATGGTCCATAAAAAGTAAGTTATATTTCAATATTCAAAAGAGATAAATTCAAAACAAAAGAAGAATTTATTTTATTCTTAGGGTTAACCCATTTCATCCTATCTTCAGGTGAAAACTAAAATTTGACTTGATTTTGTAATTATATATAAAATACGATAAATGACATTAACAGCACTCATATTATAATAGATTTAAACTTAAATTGGTTTCATTTTTTAATTCCAAATTATTCAATAAATATTTATTCAATAAATTCAATATTCAATAAATAAATTCAATTATTCAATAAAGATCTATTCAATAAATTCAAATTATCCAATAAATATCATGACAGATTAGGCCCCAACTTCCTTAACAAGACTCCTAAAGCACAAGAAATAAAATCAAGAATCAATAATTGGGATGGATTCAAACTAAAAAGCTTCTTCTCAGCAAAAGAAAGAATAAGGTGAAGAGAGAGCCTACATTTTGGGAGCAATTATTGGCCACAGACACACATCAGATAAAGCACTAATCTCCAGGATATATAAAGAACTCAAAAAAAAAAAAAAAACCAAACAATCTAATCAATAAATGGGCTAAGGAGCTGAACAGACACTTCACAGAAGAAGATATACAATTGATCAACAAATATATGAAAAAATGTTCAACGTCTCTAGTAATTAGAGAAATGCAAATTAAAACTAAGATTTCATCTCACACCAGTCAGAATGGCAGATATCAAGAATACAAATAACAGTAAGTGTTGGTGATGATGTGCGGGAAAAGGCACATTCACACACTGGTTGTGCCAATTTGGAGTACCACCAGCAATCTGGAATGCAGTTTGGAGATTCCTTAGAAAACTTAGAAGGGAACCAACATTTGACCCAGCTATCCCATTCCTTGGTCCATACTGAAAGGACTTAAAATCAGCAAACTATAGTAATGCAGCCACATCAATGTTTATAGCAGCTCAATTCACAACTGTTGAACTAACCTAGATGCCCTTCAATAGATGAATGGATAAAGAAACTGTGGTATATAAACACAAAGGAATTTTACTCAGCAATAAAAGAGAATAAAATTATGGCATTTGCAGGTAAATGGATGCAGTTGGAGAATGTCATGCTAAGTGAAGTAAGCCAATCCCAAAAACCAAAGGCCAAATATTCTCTCTGATAAGTGGATGCTGATCCGTAATGGCAAAAATGGAGGAACTATGATTGGGCAAAAGGAAGGGAGGGGAGATACGGGGCAAAGGGGCAGGAAAGATGGTTGAATGAGATGAACATCATTACCCTAGGTACATGTATGACTGCACATATGGTGCAACACTACATCATGTACAACCAGAGAAATTTGTGCTGCAATTGTGTAGAATGAATCAAATGAATCAAAATGCATTCTGCTGTCATATACACCCAATTAGAACAATAAATTTTTCTTAAAAATCCACATTATTCAATAACTATCTAGGTAGAAAGGTTTTCATTCATGTACCTTATCAACAAGTTCACATAAATACTAACATCACTAAAAAGGTTCAACCTCTAATAAAATCAAAACAATTTGGCAGGATATATTATATTGATAATACCAAATTAATATTTTATATATATATATATATATATGTAAGATGATATACAATGCATGAAAATAACTAGTTTTCTTACTTTCTAGCATTAAGGTATCCAGCCTTTCGGGTTAAGTTTCGATTAACAGGAAATTTTGTGGGGTCTGGGTCAGGCACATATAAAGGGTCACTGGCTACTTCCAAATCCTCTATTGTCTGCTGCATGGTCTCTACATCACTGTCCATTTCCCTGCGAACACTAACAGAACAGAATATTTACAGCAAGCCACACCAACAAAGAACTTCTTACCAATCATGTTTACCTGTATATTTGTTTTGTACATATTTTTTAAAAAGAGATAATCTGTGGCACAGGTGGTTAAAGCGACATAAATGCATTTTCTACAGCTTTACATTTTAGATATTTTGGAAACAATACTAAATTCAAAACTAATGAAGTTACACTGAAAGCCTGACTTCTGTCTTATGTCTTAAAAACAGTATTTATTTTTTCAGAGCTGGGGATGTAACTCAGTGGTGTAGCACTTGCCTAGCATGCATAAGGCCCTGGGTTTGATCCTCAGGACAGGAAAAAAAATCATTTTCATTTTTATCTCTCTCCATACCTCAGAATGATCACATTACTGCTCAGACTTTTGAACCTGATCAGAATGTAGAACAATGTTTTCTCTCTCTCAGGTTTCATGGCTTGGAAAACGACATTTAATTAGTAATATCCCAAGCAATCCCCACAATTTGGAGTTTAAAGATAATTTCACTTACAATTAATTATTATTATAAGTCTGTTTTATTCAGACATAAAAGCTAGTTCTGTATCATTAAAATTACTGTCAAATTTGACACAGTTATAAAATTCAGTTTACATTCTAGGGAAAAGATGATTTAAAAAACCAAGAAGAATCCATAAGCTGTGGGAGAAACACTCTCAAGTTAGGGAAAATACTTCCTCAAGAAATTAAGTTGTGGGGCTGGAGTTGTGGCTCAGTGGTAAGAGCACTTGCCTAGCATGTGTGAGGCCCTGGGTTTGAGTCTCAGCACCACATATAAATAAAATAAAGGTCTTTAAAAAAAAAAAGAAAGAAAAGAAATTAAGTTGTAAGTATTTTTAAGTTATAGCATTTAGCCGTTAACTTATTCACATCATTTCATTTTCAATTTTAAGGGAAAAATACTTACTTCTGTACACTTGTTCCAATATTAGCTAAAAATTCTTCCAACTGTTCATTGAGATTTTCAGAACCCATCTTAAAGAAACTTATCTGGGGAAGAGGAGGAATGGAGGATCAAACAACACAAACATACATAAAAGAATACTTCAGTCAATCACATAAAAAAAATCTCTAAGATACATGGTTAAATAAAAACCAAAGGATTATTCCATTTGTGTAATACAGGTTTCAGTTTACAACTTCTACTACGCAAAGAGTCACTGAGAATATTTAAGTGAACAAATTATTTATATATATATATATATATATATATATACACACACACACACACACACAAACTGATATATGCTAAACAATTTATGAAAATGAAAATAAATTTTGAAGCATTTTCAAACAAATCATATAGATAAACTATTTCATATTTACTACAAAGATAAGTTTTAAATCTGAGGAACAGAAAATACTCTTAAAACTGAAGGATCTTCAAATTTCTTTAAACCCCTGATTTTTTTTTTTTTTTAATATTTATTTATTTTGTAGTTTTCGGTGGACACAACATCTTTGTTTGTATGTGGTGCTGAGGATTGAACCCGGGCCGCACGCATGCCAGGTGAGCGCGCTACCGCTTGAGCCACATCCCCACCCCTAAACCCCTGATTTTTAAGGGATTGACATACTATATCACCCCAAACTCAGTTTCCTAGCATCCTTCCTGATGCACGTCTCTTTGGGCACTTGAGAGTTCATCTATTACTTTAAACTCAGAAAGTGTACAAGGAACATGGGACACACAAATTTGTTCACTCTCTTTCAGATCTATTATGAAGCAAGGAGGGGTAGAATAGCAATAGATATAACTTTGGAATTCATTTAGCTTCTGCTTTCTATCCCCAACTGTGGTGTACAGGGTCTAAATATAACGTAAATGGTATCATTTAGTCCAAAATATTGAAATCTTTATTACTTTTTAAAACCCAAACACACTGGGCACAGTTGATATGCCCAGAATCCCAATTACTTGATAGGATGAGGCAGGAAGATAGCAAGTCTGAGGCCACCCTGGGCAACTTAGAAAAAACCCTGTCTCAAAATAAAATAAAAAGGGTTAGGGATGTAGATCAGTGATAACAGCACTTGCCTAGCATGCATGTGTCCATGGATTTGATCCCTAGCACTATGCAAATAAATAAATGAAGAAAACCAAGACACAAATGAGTATGTTAAGAATAGTTTATGGGGCTGGGATTGTGGCTCAGAGGTAGAGCGCTCACCTAGCACGTGCAAGGCCCTGGGTTCGATCCTTAGCACCACATAAAAATAAATAAAATAAAGGTATTATGTCCAAGTACAACTAAAATATACATATTTTTTAAAAAACTGATCAGGGGGGCTGAGGTTGTGGCTCAGCGGTAGAGCGCTCCCCTAGCACGTGTGAGACTCTGGCTTTAATCCTCAGCACCACCACATAGAAATAAAAATAAAGATATTGTGTCCAACTACAATTAAAAAATTTTTTTTAAAAGAACAGTTTATAATACATTTAATAATTTAATATAAATACCAAGCTTGACACAAAGCTTTTTTTGGTGGGGTGTGGGTACCAAGGATTTAACTCAGGGGCACTTGACCACTGAGCCACATCCTCAGTCCTATTTTGTATTTTATTTAGAGACAGGGTCTTACTGAGTTGCTTAGTGCCTCGCTTTTGCTAAGGCTGGCTCTGAACTCATGATCCTTCTGCCTCAGCCTCCTATGCCACTGGGATTACAGATGTGTGCCTTAATGTAAAGCTTTTCAGTTATACCAAAACAGCACAGGAGTTGAGGATTTAGCACAGTGGTAGAGCACTTGTCTAGCACATGCAAGATCCTAGGTCTCAATCCTCAGCACCATGAAAAATATATATATATATATATAGTATTTACCTGAGCTTGCATGTACCCAAGTAGAGGTTCTAACAATGCTATCTTCTTCTTGTATTGAAGAGTATTTAATGCACAAAAATAATGCATCATGGTCTGGTGCTGTTTTTTTCTGGAAGTATACACATCTTCTGTTACTTCATATTTCACCTTTGAATGAAAAGATTTAAAAAATAGTATTATTTCCTTATATTTATCTCTCTATTTATTTATTTATTTATTGTGGTGCTGGGAGTTGAACCCAGGGCCTTGTGCATGTGAGGCAAGCAATCTAGCAACTGAGCTATATCCCCAGCCCTTATTTCCTTACTTTTAAATTATCTTCCATGGTGGCTATGGGGAAGAGCCTACCAAGGAATATATATCACTAGCAACTGAACAGTTTTCTGGTCTATTAGAAATTCTTCAACATAATAAGTTGATTTTCTTGTTTCACTACCAACCACATAATTTATAAAATGCATATTTGCATGTAACCAAGAAAGTAAATATCTAAACTAAGCATGGCAAAGAAAGTCTACATGGAGGAAAGGCACACAATGGTTTGTTACTAACTTCACCATTAGTTTTAACCTCAATCAGTTCACAGCATACATTCTCCCCTTCTGGCTCTCTCTCTACCACACTTACTCTTCTACTTGTCTTCCTTCACTTATACTTAGAATACATGTGCTCCCCTAGGTTCTTTCATTCAGACAACAAGTATTTATTGAGCATCTATTATATTAACATGCATGAGGCTCTTCTCTTTTCCTCCTCTCCTTAGAATACCTGATGAAGTACCAAGAATATTCCAAAATACCAATGACTCAGCAATCACAAATTTTTAACCCCCTGATCCTTACTCAAAAATGCCAAGGGGAAAACATCTCCAGCTGGGTTCTTTATATGTTTATGTGTGTAATATGTGTATGTGTGTATGCATTGGAAATGTACAGGTCAGTATCCTTCCCACAAAATTTGCTCTCCTACATTATTTCTTGCCTCTCTTAATTACTCCAGAAACCCTCAGTCATCCAAATAACCTAGGCATTATTTTTTTTTAATATTTATTTTTTTTAGCTGTAGATGGACACAACACAATGCCTTTATTTTTATGTGGTGCTGAGGATCGAACCCAGGTCCCGCCCATGCTAGGTGAATGCTCTACCACTGAGCCACAATCCCAGCCCCTAGGCATTATTTTTTATTCCCCCTCCTACTAAAGACCTTATCAATTCTATTTATGAAATACTTCCAAAAAGTATTCCTTCCTCTCCTCTTTCAATAACATGAGCCAAGGCCTTCATTATATCTTTACAAACTAGCTGGGTATGGTGGTGCCTTTAATCCCACTGACTCAGGAGGCTGAGCCAGGAGGATTATGAGTTCAAAGCCAGCCTTAGCAACTTAGCAAGGCTCTAAGCAACTCAGCAAGACCCTGTCTCTAATAAAATACAAAAAGGGCTGAGGATGTGGCTGAGTAGTTAATCTTCCCTGGGTTCAATCCCCAATACCCGCCCCCACCAAAAAAAAAATCTTCGCAAAGTATTCCAATTCTTCCCATTGAATTCCCTCTAGTCTCAATCTCTTCACATTTTCATTAGTGTTTTCTTCTGTAACACAACTACATCATGTTACTTATTGACAGAATTCTCTGGTGGCTGCTCACTCTAACACAGATTTCAAGGTCATTAATATACTGGCCCCAATCTACTTTACCTTCATTTCTGCCTTATCTCCCCAAACACATTCAGTGTTCCAAACATACTGTAATGATTATCTTCACACCATCATCATCATAATTATGGCTAAAATTTAGTGAAAACTTGCTATGAGACAGATACTTTGCATGCATTACCTATTTCATCTTCACAATTATTGAGATGTTTTTGATAATGAAATAGAGGCTTGCAACTAAGTAAAAGTGCATGACCTCAGGCAAATTATTGGCAGAGCTTTGTTCCCAGTCTGACTCCAGAGCCAGTGCTCTTAACCTCTGTACTATCCCAACTCTACCACATGCATCTGCAAAGGCTTTTTTTTTTTTTAAAGTAATATCCTTGTTGCAATCCCTTAACAGTGATCTTCAATGCAAATGCTACCTCCTAAAAGAATAATATTCCTGATTCACCAAAACTCTCAACATTTCAGTAAAACCTCTGTTACTGCACTTAACTGGTATTAATTCTTACTCTCATTATCCTTATACTCTGACACCTGGACTAATTGTATGCATTCACACAAAAGCCTTCAATAAAATGTGGAGTATCCACTCCTGTCCTCCAGGAGCCTACTCATATTGTTCTCTCAAGGTACCCCACATACAGCTTGTCATACAGTAGGTACCCAATACATTTAAAAAAAAAAAAATTTAGTTGCAGATGGATACAATACCTTTATTTATTTATTTATTTTTATGTGATGCTGAGGATCGAACCCACTACCTCACACATGCTAGGCAAGCGTTTTACCACTAAGCCACAACTACAGCCCCTCAATACATTTTTTAAAACATTTTTTTGTTGTAGATGTACACAATATCTTTGTTTTATTTATTTATTTATTTTATGTGGTGCTGAGGATCGAACCCCAGCCTCCTTCAATATATTTTTAAAAAATATTTGTTTTTTAGTTGTAGTTGGACACAATACCTTTATTTATTTATTTATTTTTATGTGGTGCTGATGATTGAACCCAGGGCCTTACACATGCTAGGCGAGCACACTACCACTGAGCCACAACCCCATCCCCAATACATCTTTAATTTTAAAAATGGTGAGAAATATTTTTTAAAAAATACTTGTGGGGCTGAGGTTGTAGCTCAGTGGTTAAGCACTTACCTCACATGGGGCACTGGGTTCAATCCTCAGCACCATGTATAAATAAATAAATAAATAAAGATGTTGTGTCCATCTACAACTAAAAAAAAAATTTAAAAATAAAATACTTGTAACAGCCAGAGGTAATGTAAAACATGCCAAATTTTATACTCTAGAGCTTTTAACTATGTCCATAAGGCAGAGTGACTAAAATGCAGATCTTGAAATGTATATACTTCATCAGTTTTTGCAGTATAAAATAATTTCTGAACTAAAATTAGAAATGGAAAGCAGATCTTTGGACTGAACTTTGTGTGAGAAACATTTTCTTTATTGTCACAGTGACTGTTACATAGTGTTATGGTTTAGCTATAAGGCATTTCCCCAAAAGTTCATGTGTGAAATAATGCAAGAAAGTTCAGAGGTGAAATGATTGGGTTATGAGAGCTTTAATGTACTCAGTGCATTAATCCTCTGATGAGAAGTAATCCGGGTGGAAACTGCAGGCAATTAGGGTGTGGCTGGAGGAGGTGGGTCCCTAGGGACATGCCTTTGGGAAGGGCTCTCTCTCTTTGCTTCCTGGTGCCATGTCCCCAACAGCTCTCCTCTATCCTACTCTTCCACCATGATGTTGTCCCTCACCTGTAGCCCCAACGAATGGAGTTGGCCTTCTATAGACTGAGATCTCTAAAACTGTGAGCCTCAAAATAAATTTTTCCTTCGCTGGGGTTGTAGCTCAGCAGTGGAGCATTTGCCTAGCACATGCGATGCCCTGGGTTTGATCCTTAGCACCACATAAAATAAATAAATAAAATAAAGGTATTGTGTCCACTACAACCAAAAAGTAAATTAAAAATAAATAAAGTTTTCCTCCTCTAACTGTTCTTGTCAGGTCTTTTGGTTATAGCAGTGAAAAGGCTGACTAAAACATATAGTAAGTCATACTCAGTTGTGGATTCCCACAAGTAGTTACTGTGCCTCTCTGGGCAGCTGCAACCAAGACTGCAGACACCAAGTCCTAGGCACAGATATCTCAACTCACTCTCAAGCATCCAATAAGGCCTACACATCAAACCTTGGATTAGGCACTGGAGAGAGCTGATTTTAAGGAGCACTCAGCTGATATTGCTAATATGCTGTTCTTTAATCTTTACTTGAATGTTTTTCTCTTCAAATATAAGGTAATATTTCTAGAAATTCACTCCTTGAGGACAAATATTCCCAGTAAATGAAGAGGGCCTCATAATAACTTCATTGGAATTGGGTCTTTAACAATTCAACTTTTTGATTACTGTGTCTCATTTCTATATACATGGCCAAATGAAAACAGAACATATGCAATGTTATCAAAATACAAAGCGAAAAGAGGCAATGTTATATATTGATCATCATTTACACATTTATGTTCATGATTTATCAAATTCTGGCAGAAGGAAAGTATTTCATTTAGAGACTAAAAATTATCAGAAAGGTTTTTGAATAGCTAACAGGAAAAAATAAAGTAGGAGCAGGAGCAGTACAGCAAAACATACAAATCAACTACTGACTATTTTTAAACTGGGAACACCGAACCACCTAATGAAATCATCATTAATTGTGATACTGAAGGAGTAAGTACGTATCACACCTTGTCATTTTCTCTTTTTTTTGACAATCGGCTATATCTGTTAATTGCAGCATCATGATCTGGAAAGCAGAAATGAGTGTTAACAATAATACAATAGTATTTTACAAAAGGTATAAATACTTCAAATAGTCTTCACATCTGCATCTTTCGGCATATACTAAAGTAAGGAAAAAATTCCCTATCACCTGATAAGAATGTTCAAAATTTCCCCACAGCCAAATTTTCCTGTAAACTATGTGTCTACTTAATCTAACTAGTATATGAAAGCAACATTTAATTCCAAGGAAACAATAATCCACTAAAAGTTTTTCAAAGTATTTTAGTTCAAAAACAGCAAATGCTCATTAAAGAAATACTGGAATATATACAAAAATAGGAAGGTAAAATACTGTATCACCTCTTTAGGCATTATAAAGATAATAAACTAAAAGATGTAACTGTCTTTACAATTATTTCTTATAAATAGCATATTTAAGTAACAACATTGATATAAATAATGACCACAAACTTTTAATTACACTCATTTTTTTTAACTATTACAAAGAATCACCCATGATATTACACTGATAAATGCATCAATAAAATAAATAATGTAAAATATTCAGGGCTTACCGTTACTAGCGATCTGAAACACTTCTTTTAATGTCAGTATTTCTGAAAAAGTTTAAAAGAATAATTTCAGCTTAACATATTTATAAAATACCTTTATTAAAGTTTGTTTATAGGGTTGGAGATATAGGTCAGTGATAGGGTGCTTGCTTAGCGTGAATGAGACCCTGAGTTCAATCCCTAGCACCACAAAAAAAAAAGTTTGCTTGCAAAGCAATAAATGCTACTTCAGTTATAATTAAAACTCTAAATAGTATTTTATACTTCCACATTCAAAGTAAAAAAAAAAAAAAATCACTGTGTTTCGGCTAGTCTGGTATATTTACCATCATTAGCAACACTTACACTTCCAGAAAATCTACTTGTCACAAATTAGTAATATGACACAAATTTTAAAACCCATTACAAATACTAAGACAAGTAAATATTTTGACTCAGTACCAGTATCTAGATATTTACTAATTTGGTTTTTGGATATAGGACTCTAATAATTTCAAATGCTGAATGAGAAACAAAGCACATTTTATCAATAAGATAATGCCATTCAGTACCCTTAGACTGTGAGAAAATAATTCTTATTTCTTGACCTTGGAGATGTCCATTTTTGAGCATCATTGCAATTATTAACTCCATCTCTAAAATCCATTGGTCTTTATTCCATCTTAAACACTTTACCATTCACTGACACATTAGTTCAAATTTTTTTCCCTATTTTGGAAATAAGCCTGTATGAGAGTTTAAAAATTATAATAAGAGCCAATTCTATAAAACTCTCCTTTTATCATCTAGTAACCCTAAATTGGCAAAAAAAAAAAATAACCACAAACTACTAAGTCATAGGTTGTTAGATGTGCTGGCATCCCTACCTTCTGCTATGCCCATACAAACCTCTATACTCTGTGCCACTATCCTAATCCAGGTCTTGGTTATACCTCATTGAACCCTCACAACTTCTTAGTCCATTCTCCTACACACCAAATCCACACAATCCCATCCTCCAAATACAAAAGGATTATGGCTCTTTACTACTAAAAGACCTCCATTGGCTTCTCTTTGTTCATAAACTCAAGTCCAACATCTTTAGCATAATCTAGTTCCATCTAATTCTAGATTTATCTGCTGCCTTGCCCTGACACATTCAACACTGCAGTCACACTGAATTTCTTATCCTCAAAACAAGGTGTATATATATATATATATCAGCCATACGTTTGTGCATTCTAGTCCCTTAACAGTGATTCTAATCCTGGCACATTTTTTCTCATTGTTCAATGTTCATGTCACATCTTTGGTGACACCTTCTTGACTCTCCTCTGAGCCCTCACAGAACCTTCTCGTTCCCTAATTAAAAGAGAGACAGTGTCCTAATTACATGTTTACCTATCTCTTTCTCTAGGATTTCTCCAGGAAAGGGATACTTTATATTAGTATTTGTCAGTATGTAGTTTAATACCTATCAAAAGCTCCTATAAATGTTTGGTGACTGATGATAGTGAAAGTGGCACAGGCAGTGGTCTGAAATGGTTTAGGTATAAAGTAAAACGCATCTTACAAGAATTGATCTTCTGGCAACTGACAAAAGTAAATACAAGCCCTTGACTTCAATACCTTTCAGATCTCTTTCTTTAAACTGGGTAATGGGGAACATCATGGCATCAGCAAGTTGAGTTGAGAGTACAGCATGACAAGAGCTAAGCTAGTAAAAGAAAGACAAAAAAGGCCAAATAACTAACAGAAACCATTTATAATTAATAAATGTCGTTATAGAGCAATCTATTTTTTAAAAAAAACTAATACATTTCACGAAAAACACTAAAATTAATGTGATACAAAGTATCATATAGCAAAAAAAAAAAAAAAAATCCATTTAAAACTCTTAAAAGAAAACTTAAAGTGATCCTGGACTTGGCAATGATTTTTTTTTTAATTTCTTTTTGTTCTTTTTAGTTATACATGACAGTAGAATTTATTTTGACATATTATACATACATGGAATATAACTTCCCATTCTTGTGGTTGTACATGATGTGGAGTTATACTGGTCATATATTCTACTGTCTTTCTGATTTCCATCCCACCTCCCTTACCTTTGTTCACCTTTGTCTAATCCAGGAAACTTTTATTCACCCCCACCCCCAGGTGTGTTAGCATCTACTATCAGACAGAACATTTGGCCTTTGGTATTTTGGCACTGGCTTATTTCACTTAGTGGGATAGTCTCCAGTACCATCCATTTACTAGCAAATGCCATAATTTCATTCTTCTTTATGGCTGGGTAATATTCCACTGTGTATATATACCACCTTTTCCTTATCCATTCATCTGTTGAAGAGCACCTAGGTTGGTTCCACAGCTTAAATCCTTTAGGTATGTGCCAAGGAGTGGGATAAGTGGGTCAAATATTAGTTCCATTCCAAATTTTCTAAGGAATCTCCATATTGCTTTCCAGAGTGGGTGCACCAGTTTGCAGTCCCATGAGCAATGTATGAGTGTAACTTTTTTCCTACAGTCTCTTGTCAACATTTATTATTACTTGTATTCTTGAAAATTGCCATTCTGACTGGAGTGAAATGAAATCTCAGTGTGGTTTTAATTTGGCAATGATTTCTTAGACATGATAACAAAAACACTTCAAAATAAAATATAAAATATAAATTGTACTTCATCAAAATTAAAAACTTTAATGCATCAAAGGATACTATCAAGAATGTGAAAAGGTAAACCATAGAGTGAGAGCAAATGTTTGCCAATTACTTACCTAAGTAAGAAACTTGTATTTAGAATACAGAACTCTTAAAACTCAATAATGAAAAGGCAGATAACCCAACTTAAAGTGGGCAAAGAATCTAAATAGACATTTCTCTGAAGATATACAAATGGCTGATAACCACATGAACAGATGCTCAATATCATTAAATATCAAGAAAATGCAAATCAAAATGATAATGAGATACCACATGACACCCACTTAGATGACTCTAATTTAAAAAGAAAAAGGGGGGAAAATCCATTTTTGGCAAGAACGTAGAAAAGCTAGAACCCTCCAATGTTGCAGGTGGCGATATGAAATGGAACGGGCACTGGTGAAAATTGGTGATTTCTCAGAGTTAAACATAAAGGTACATTCCAGGCCAGCCTTGGCAACTTAGCAAGCCCCTGTCTCAAAAACAAAAACATAGGGGCTGGGGAGTGGCTCAAGCGGTAGCACGCTTGCCTGGCATACGCAGGGCGCTGGGTTCAATCCTCAGCACCACATAAAAATAAAATGAAGATGTTGTGTCCACTGAAAACTGAAAAATAAATAAATAAATAAACATAAAGTTGCCATATAACCAAGCAATCCCACTCCTAGACATATACTTCAAAGAACTGAAAACGGGTGTTTGAAAAAAACCAAACTTGAATATGTATGATCACAGCAGCACTATTCATACCAGCCAAAAGGTGGAAAGAGCCAAAATATCCATAACAAACAGATAAATCAAATATTTCATGCAATACCCATACAATGAAATTTTATTCAGCCAAAAAAAGAAATGAAATGTTGACACATTACAACATGAATATACCTTTCACACATGAAAGAAGATAGACACAAAAGTCCACAAATTATATGGGTCCTACTATATGAAATATTCAAAACAGGCAAATACATATTTGCTTTTGTTTTCTTTTTCTTTTTTTTGGTACCAGGGATTGAATCCAAGGGCATTCAATAACTAGCCACATGCCCAGTCCTTGTTATTTTTTAAGACAGAGTTTAGGTAAATTGCATAGGGTCTCACTACATTGCTGAGCCTGGCCTTGAACTTGTGATCCTCCTGCCTCAGCCTCTCAAGTCACTGGGATTACAGGTGTGCACTACCACACCTGACTCAAAACAGGCAAATCCAAAGAGACAGAAAGCAGATTAAGTGGTTACCAGGGACTGGGAAGAATAGGAAGGGAAAAGTGACGGCTTAATAGGTAGACAGTTCCTTTGGGATGATGAAAATGTTCTGGAACTAGACAGTTGTGATGGCTGCATAACATTTTGAATGCATTAAATGTCACAAGTGACAAATTCTATAGTATTTTACCATATTTTTTTAAATGAAAAACATTCCATTTCCTATAAATATTATTTCTTTACACTACTCTCCTAGGATAATATTCTGCCATAAAGAATTATTAAAATATTTTTTAAATTGGTGCTGAAGGTATATCTCAGTGGTTAAAAGCTCTTCCTAGCATATACAAGGCCCCAGGTTTATTCCCCAGTATGGCAAAAATGTGTGTGCATATGTGTGTGTGTGTGTGTGTGTGTGTGTATACACACATATATATACACACAAAGTATTTTCATGCAATACTAGAGAACAATTATTGAACTCTCCATACAGCTCTCACTACCTTTCTTCTTCCTACCTTCTAGGTCTGTTTTGTTTTGTTATACGATTGGTTAAAGATGACTGGTTTGAGAAACCAATAGTCAATTTCAGCTGTTTGGGATAGAAGGATTAATAAGGACTGAACAGTAAAATGTTGCTTAATGACAAAATAGAAGCCACAAAGGGCTTAGCCATAGCTCACAGCTTCACTCTTCTCTCGATGCCTACATCAAATAACAATGAAAAAAAACAAATAATACATGGACTGGGAAGAGAGAAAGCCCATCTATTGGCTTGTTCCTCAAAAACAATTTATTTTAATTAGATAAAGAAAATATTATTTTTATAAGATAGCAACCAGGATGTGGAAATAAGGTACTTCTTTAAGTTTTATAACAAAGCTTTACTCATATAATCATAATGATAAAAGTTCCCAATAAAAACCGAATAACTTGAGTAACTTAATTATAAAATAACTTATTCAAGCAAAATAAATACTTACCTCATCTATAACTTTTGAAAACTGTTGTAAAGTAGAGCTCATAACTTCATCATCACCCCCCAATGGAAAACGCTAAAAAAAAGTTAAACAAGAGATGAAGTAAAGGTTCAATACTATATGACTCTTGTAACTGATAGCATCAGAATTTAAATTTTCAAGTAACTTCAGAAAATTTCTAAATTTCAAATAAGCTCCAGAAATGTCATTTTAATACAGTAATTTTCATAATTAAGAAACATTAATTTAAATGTCCACTAAGTACCCAGTGAACACATACTATGCTAGGAATTCAGTGATTTGGCATTTAGCTCCAGTTCCTCCAAAATCCCTATAATCTTGAGCAAGATTGTTTCTTCATTTGTAAAAAAATAAATAAATGAAAGGTAAACTAGATAACCTCGGTACCTAGCATTAAATCATTATAATTATCTCAACATAAGGGCTATACTGAAATCTCAATGGCATATTCTGTGAAATCAGGAAAGCTTATAGATTCTTGATGAGGAAGTCCTTATCTGTACAAATACAATATTATGGTATATTTTAAATCATGCTCTTAAATATCTGATATACGATACCTGTTTTTCATATTCTTTTAAAAGTTTCGAAGTCAGGTGTGTTGCTGCACTTAATTCATTCTATGGAAAAAGATTAGTATTCAAATTAGCAAAATATTACTTATCAAGAAAAAAGTTTTAATCAAAGATACATAGGCCACCTTTATTACTACCACTAAAGCATTTCAAAAAGAAACTCAACCATAAAAGAGAATTCAGCAAGGAATTCAGCAATGTTCTAAGTATGTGCTGCTGCTGCTGCTGCTGCTTTTCTTTGATAATAAAACTAAGCATTAAATATTTTTTTTGTAAAAAAATCTACATGCTATATTCTTTATTTTAAATTAATTTTAAAAACATCATATACAATATGAAACCATTGATACATAGGTGCATTTTTTCAATTTTGTTTTTTTAGTGTTAAATATTTTAAAAGCTAAAAAGCAACTGTACAAAGCCTTAGCAAAATCTTTAGATTCTACATAGATGACTGGTTATCATTCTCTCTAGATGCTGATGCCAGACTATAAGCATTTAATAACATACAACCAAAATATGGTTGTTGACTATTGGGCATGCTATTATATACCAATAATCCCAGTGGCTTGGGAGGTTGAGGCAGGAGGATCACAAGTTCAAAGATAGTCTCAGCAACTTAGCAAGGTTCTAAGCAACTTAGAGAGATCCTGTCACCCTGTATCAAAATAAAAAATAGATGGGCTGGGATGTGACTCAGTGGTCAGTGGTTAACTGACCCTGGATTTAATCCCTGGTACCCCCCCTCCCCCAAAAAAAAAAAAGCAAAATGTGGTTGACTTAGGGGCTGGAGTAGTGGTAGAGCACTTGCCTGACATGTGTGAGGCACTGGGTTTGATTCTCAGCACCACATATAAATAAATAAATAAATAAATAAATAAATAAAAGGTCCATTGACAATTAAAAAATATTTTTAAAAAAATGTGGCTGACTTACTCATAACACAGCAACACAGTCATATGAAAGGGTTTTTTGTTTTGTTTTGGTATCAGGGATTGAACCCAGCAGGTACTTAATCACTGAGCCACAACCCCAGCCCTCTTCAGTCAAATCTTAAATGAAGACTACTATTAGTGATTTTTATTTTCTTTCAGTAATGGGGATTGAACCCAGGAAAACTACCATTGAGCTACATCCCCAGCACTTTTTATTTTTTGAGACAAGGTCTCAATAAATTGCTGAGGCTGACCTTGGGATTAGAGGTGTGAACTACAGGACTCAGCTACTTACTGATATTTTTTTTACTAGGGATTGAACCCAGGGGTACTTAACTACTGAGACACAACCCCAGCCCCTACTTTTTTTTTTTTTTTTTGAGAGAGAGAGACAGGATCTCACCAAGTTTCTTAGAACCACACTAAATTGCTGAGGCTGGCTTTGAACTTGCAATCCTCCGGCCTCGGCCTCCCAAGACACGGGGATATAGGCATGTGCCACTGTGCCCAACACTATTAGTGATTTTTAACAAGAAAGCTCTTCTTACTGTGTTTGGGGAGAAGGGACTGATGTTTCAATCTTGTTACTTTTGTGGTGCTACAAACTATGCACTAGTAACAGAAAGTAAACTCTGGTATACAATATATTTAATGTTCTTTCATCCTTTCAACAAATATTTATTACTAGTATTTCAGGACAAGGCTAGGCACCAATAAACAAAACAGACACTATTCTCTGTCCTTATGGGGCTCAAAGATTAATTTTTAAACAGCATTGTATTAGACCTTAGCTTTTTACCTGTGCATCATAAATACGATGCATAGCTTGATACAATTGGTTCATATAGTTGGAAATAGCTGTAGCATCTTCTTCAAAAACGCCTAGTAAAGACCTTGTCTGTATAAAAGAAAATAAATTAAAAAGCTATGTTAATTGGTATATAGGTAAGATGGGAAAACTTTTTTTTTTCTAAAAGAAGCAAAAATAGTAAGATAACAGAGCTCCAGTAATTATGAGTTTTAATCTATTTTCTCTTTTTACAGTAATGCTAAGAAGTCAGGGTTTTTTTTTCCTCTGTTTCACTTCATTAAAAATGAGGTATTTTCCAACTACATCACAATCTTTTCCCAAATATGTTACAAAAACTTTAGGAGGAACAACAAAGGTGTAATTTTATTGGTTAGAATTTCTGTAATTGTATTAAGAAGAAACACTACAGATTAAAATTTAAAATTCTGCACTTAAGATGGTAGATGAGAGAACAAAGGTAGTGTAGTAGGCTCCTAAAATGCAAGAAGTAAAATCAAGAATCAATAAATGGGATGGCTTCCAATTAAAAAGCTTCTCAGCAAAGGAAATAATTAATAATGTGAGGAGAGAGCATTCAGATTGGGAGAAAATCTTTACCACATGCACCTCCGATAAAGCATTAATCTCTAGGATATATAAAGAACTAAAAAAACACCAACAAAACAAATAACCCAATCAATAAAAGGGCTAAGGAACTAGACAGACACTTCACAGAATAAGAAATACAATTGATCAACAAATATATGAAAAAGTGTTCAACATCTTTAGCAATTAGAGAAATTCAAATCAAAACTACTCTAAGATTTCATCTCCTGTCAGAATGGCAATCATCAAGCATACAGGCAACAATAAATGTTGGCAATGATGTGGGGAAAAAGGTACACTCATACATTGCTGGTGGAACTGCAAATTGGTGCAACTACTATGGAAAACAATATGGAGATTCCTCAGAAAATTGGGAATGGAACTACCATTTGACCCAGCTATCACATTCCTTGGTTTATACCCAAAGGACTTAAAATCAGCATACTATAGTGATACGGCCACAACAATGTTTATAGCAGCTCAATTCACGATAGCTAGACTATGGAACCAACCTAGGTGTCCCTCAATAGATGAATGGAAAGAAAATGTGATATGTATACTCAATGGAATATTACTCAGCTTTAAAGAAAAGTGAAATTATAGCATTTGCCAGTAAATGGTTGGAGCTGGTGAAGTAAGCCAATCCCACAAAAGCAAAGGCTGAATGTTTTCTCTAATATGCTGATGCTAATTCACAATAAGGAGGGAGGCACTAGGGAAGAATAGCATTACCTTAGATTAGGTAGAAGAAAGTAATGGGAGGGGAGAGGAGGGGTTACAGGGAGAGGAAAGATAGCAGAATAAAACAGACAGTATTACTGTGAAAAAAAAAAATATATATATATATATATACACACACACACACATGACCAATATGATTCTGCAACATGTACACTCAGAAAAATTAGAAATTATATCGCATCTATGTACGACACATCAAAGTGCATAAATGCATTTTACTGTCATGTATAAGTAATTAAAACAAATTTTAAAAAATTTTTAATTCGGTACTTAAACTAAAAACAAATCAACACAAACATTCAAAACTTAGGGGCCTGAGGGTTTAGCTTTCTAGTAAAGCATCTGCCTAGCATGTCTCTCTGGGTTTCAACTGCGGCTTGCGAGTGCAACACACACACACACACACACACACACACACTAATTTAACAGTATTCCATGTATAAATATTTAAATGCTTTATTATAGGATAACCTAATATGATTATTTCCTTTCTTCAATGGTCTCTTCTTAGTACCAAATCTCCCTCTGTCCTAATCTAAAATAATACCACAGTACAGTCTACAAAATAGTAACTAGGTTTTTCTGAATGAAGGATTTTGGTTTCCTCTTTATATGTTTCTATATTGTTTGGCATTCTTTTTTCTACAATGAGAAACTTAAAATGATATTTATTATAAGGGGGAACACTTGTAAGTAAGTAATAATGTCAATAAAATTATCAAAGATAGTAAATGGTGGAACAGGCTTGTAATCCCAGCTACTTGAGAGGTAGAGGCAGGAGGATCACCAAGTTCAAGGCCAGTCTGGGCAATTTAGCAAGACCCTGTATCAAAACAAAATAAAAGAGACTGGAAATGTAGGATATGGCTCAGCAGTAGAGTGCCCTGGGTTCAATCCCCAGTACTGGGGGGAAAAAAAAAATCAAAGAAAAGGAAACTCAGTTTATCAAAGGCAAATGATGATCACCATTTTTTTCCCAAAGGCAATGGAAAAATTAGAATACTAATAAGTACGGAGATAACTTAAGCTTAAAAATCTAAAAAAATTACCTTATATTTTATTCCCTAGCTTCTTATTCCTTTCGTCCAGAAGTCAAAGCTAAGTCAATACAGTATAAAGTGGTGGAGGGTTGGGGGAACACAAGATTATTATGCTGGTTGAAGCAGTCCATATTATCAGTCCCCTACTTCCCCAGGCCTTTGAGATTTGAATTTGATAGAAGCTGTTTTTAGTTTAGTTTTGATTTTTTAATTTCGGAGACATGGTCTAAATTGCTCAGACTGGTCTCAGCTCAAGCAGTCCTCCTGCCTCAGTCTCCAAGTAGCTGAGAATACAAGCACACACCACCAGCTGAATTTGACATAATCATTTTCACTCTAGTGCTCTAGCTTTACTCCCATTCCCATCAGTGCTATCTTAAGATGTAAAAAAGATGGACTGGGGATGGAGGTCAGTGACAGAATACATGCCTAGCATGTGCAAATTCCACGGTTAATGCCTAGCACCCCCACAAAAAAATTTTTTTTTTAAATATGTCTGTATAAAAGAAAGCATCAGGGCTGGGAATATAGCTCAGATGATAGGATAACCTAATAACCAATAATCCTCAATTGGTAGGATAACCTCACATGCACAAGACCTTGGGCTTAATCCCCAGCAAAACATACACACACACACACACACACACACACAAAAAAAAAAAAAAAAAAAAGCATTAGGAAATCTTGATAGGCCAGTACCCCATCCCCCTTTTGGTACTGTGGACTGAATCCAGAGGTATCTACCACTGACCTAGTTCTTTTCTATTTTTATTTTTTGGTACTAGGGATTGAACTCAGGGGCGCTTAACCACTGAACCATATCCCCAGCCCTTTTTGTATTTTATTTAGAGACAGTGTCTCACTGAGTTGTTTAGGGCCTCACTAAATTGCTGAGGCTGGCTTTGAACTCAGGATCCTCCTGCCTCAGCCTCCTGAGTCTCTGGGATTACAGGCTTGCTCCAGCTAGGCTTTTTTATGTTTTGATATTTTGCCTTTATATTTATGGAAACAAACCTTCAGACAGAATGTTATCATATATGCTCTCATGTAAACATCTAGAAAATATATAAGCAGCATAAATTTAATATATTCCTAAAACTTTTATACTCAGTTCAATCAACTCATAAAGTCCAATAAATCATTTTCCAATTCAAGCCCTAAATATCGATGTTTTCTCATACTTTTCTCAGTACCATGGGATGACAAGTATTTCTTAGAAGTGCTTCAGTTTAGTCCCTAACTTTTTTTTTTTTTTTGTATTGGGGATTTAAGTCCTTGAATTTGCAATCCTGCTTTCTCAGTCTCCAAGATCACTGGGTTTAACAGACATGTACCACCACACCCAGTTCCTAAAAATTTCTTATAAGAGATAGATGCTTGTTCAGTTAAGTTTTGGTGATAAGGCTTGTTTCTACCATGTAGAAAAGTACGATTTTCAAACAACCAGGACTGACATTCTTTCCTCAAATCAATTTGTTGGCTGAATGCAAAGACTGCACTTGGCCACAATTGCCACTAGGAGCAACAACCAAAATGTACATTTGCATACATGGGAGAGTGGAGCTGCCACCTGGCTAATAGCAATTGTTAAAATACCACAGACTCAAGGCAGGCCATGATCACACATGCCTATAGTTCCAGCTACTTGGGTGGCTAAAGCAGATGGATCACTTCAGCTTATGAGTTTGAAGATAGCCTGGGCAACATTATGAGATCTTGTTTCATTAAATAAATAAATAAACATCTCTAAGGGGAATTACAATCTGAGATGTCAAAATGTGGGGGAGCACACTCCATAATCAGGAGTACTTCATGTTATGAAAAGAAGGAAGCCTACATTTGTGAACAGGGTGGTTTTCAATATTGTATTATACATGAATCATTAAGATATATATACATAAAATCAATTATTTTTAAAGGATGTTAGTAATTAAAAAGTTTTATTTTGATTCTGATTTTCGGAATAATATATAAATACAGACAAACCATCTATTGTAGGCTTAAGATTTTGTGCTTCTACAGATAACTTTTGCAGAATGGTATGGTTTGGGCAAAATAATTCTAAAGATGTTTACATTTAGTAAATCTGGACTTTGCAAATTCCTCCTATTTTAATACAATTACTATTAAATTTAAAATACATATATATATATATATTTTTTTTTTTTGAAGAATATACTGAAAATTGAACCCGGGGCTCACTTTACCACTGAGCTACTTTTTCTTCTTTAGTCCATTTATTTATTTATTTAGAGATAGGGTCTCACTAATTTGCTAAGGCTAGCCTCCAATTTGTGATTCTCCTGACTCAACCTCCTGAGCTGCTGGAATTATAGTTGTGGGCCACCATGCCCAGTTCTATAAATCAAAATTTAAAGAGGGAAGCCAGGTATAGTGGTGCAAGCCTGTAATCCCAGCAACTCAGGAGGCTGAGGGAGGAGGATCACAAGTTCCAAGACCAGAATGGGCAATTTACCAAGACCCTGTCTCAAAATTAAATGAAAAGGGCTGGGATGCAATGGTACATACCTGTAATCCCAGCAACTAGGGAGAATGAGGCTGGAGGATTAAGTTCCAACTCAGCCTCAGCAAGTTAGTGAGACTATCTTAAAATTTAAAATTAAGGAAAAGATAACTATAATCCCTGATGGCCTTTCATGACTCCCAAGCTCTAATTTTTTCACATAGCAACAACAGGTCACTTTTGATAAGGATCAATTA